GGGTCTGAATACTTTCCGTACCCACTGTATATATATATATATATATATATATATAAATAGAAACAATTATTTTAAATTGTAATAATGTTTCACAATATTACTGTTTTTACTGTATTTTAATCAAATAAATGCAACCTTGGTGCATTAAAAATCTTAACAAACCCCAACTTTTGAACAGTAGCATATGCAAAAGCAATTTATTCCTGATAGGGCAAAGCAATATCTTACTGATATAGTTTGCATAACTTGTGTATTAGGATAAAAATCCTAATATTGTGAAATACTAATATAACTGTTTTCTATTTTAATCTATCTTAAAATATAATTCATTCCTGTAATGGCAAAGCTGAATTTTAATATGTATATATATATATACAATATATACAGTATATGAATAGTTGCACTTAATATAAGTTGTACCATGTGTTTCTTGTCCTCCTGGAAATGCTTATCGACAAAGAGCCTACCGGTGGCATAGATGAGTGTGTTTTCTACATAATTCACACACTTGTCCCAGCGAGGGGTCAGAGAGGTGGTCCCCGTGGTAACCTGAGAAGAGATGGATATTTAATATTGTAAACCCCAGTAAATATATTTTTATCCAAAGATTGGTGGAGAGTTAAAATGAGGAGGTGGTTCACTAACCCGAGCAAAGTCCAGGTATCTGTAGAGAAAGCGTCGGCTCAATGTGGTGATTCTGGAAAAAACTGATCTCCATAAGACATAATTGCCAACTGTCCTGGGGCGAGGGTGGAAAAAAAAACATTTGGAGCAGCTGAATTACAGAGTAATCTTAACTGTTATTGAGCAGAGCAGGTAATAAACAGGTAGGACATGTAAACAGGACACACAGAAATACAGTGATCACACAAGTTGTCCAGACCAACAGAGGCAGAACCTCAGGGCTCTGATGTAGGTTTTAATGAGGTTTTAATATTTTTAAAAGCTGTCTGGATACCTGGTTTCTGTGGTGTTGAGGAGTTTGAAGAGGTCTTTAAAGTATTGTGGGGCACGTACAATCACCTGCTCCAAAGAAGCGATTTTCAGGTCTGGGTACAGCTCAGTGTCAATCACTGCTCTGACAAAACCCAGCCAGTTAAACTGAAAAAAGAAAAGAAAAAACAATAAGAGATAATTAGATTTAAAACAAAAACAAAAACAATAATAGCCGTGTTTTGTATGGAAGCTTGTTTCTGCCACAGATAAAAAATAATAAAAAGGTAATTGTGAACTTTTATATACAATTCTGACATTTTTCCACACAATTTTGAGTGTAAAATACCACCTCAGAGAAAACTATTTCCATTTAAATAGAGTCACAAATCAAGCGTAGGGTTAGTTCTGGCAGGTCACATTAGTCAAGCTTGCATTGGCTGACTCTCAACTGATCCATGTCTACCTATAGTAATACAACGCCTATCACGGCATTCCTATATAAGGTCTATACAGTATTATTTAGCAGCTTGCTCAGGAGCAAATTACCCTCCTCCATCCCCAGCTCCTCCTTTCGTCACAGTCTGGACTTGGTTTTCTGATATTCCTTGTTGAATCAGACTCTTTTATCTTGAATATGTTGTTACACTAAAATGTCATTAAGAACATTAAAGGGGTCATATGATGCGATTTCAATTTTTCCTTTCTCTTTGGAGTGTTACAAGCTCTTGGTGCATAAAGAAGATCTGTAAAGTTGCAAAGACTAAAGTCTCAAATCCAAAGAGATATTCTTTATAAAATTTAAGAGTCAACCACGCCTACCTAAAACGGCTCGTTCTAACACGCCCCCACATATCTACATCACTATGTGGGAAGATTTGCATAACGCCGCCCACATGTTCATGCAAATAAAGAAGGCATAACTTGACATGTAGGTCTCACCTTGATGATGTACTGGTTTGAGTTCTTGTCATCAGGAGAGACAAAAAGCCGAATAAGGACGGACTTGCTGTACTGACTGCGTATCAGCGCCAGTGTCTCCAGCAAGTTAAACTGAGACTCCACCCACCGGGAGGAAGAGCCCAAGGCGTCGCCTAAGACCGGCCAACGGAATTCCTTCTGCTTTAGATTCAATCTCCAGAGCAGCTGTCAGGATAGAGGGAGGAAGGGAGTGATGAAGAAATATAATTTATTCGCTTGGCAGATGCTTACATCAGTAAAGCAAGGATTCCTCAATTTTTTTGTCAACTAAAATATTCCTAAAATATTTACTTGAAGTATGCCCTAAGATTTTATGTCAATATTAACAACATATTAAGAACAAGTTAACAACATAATTTGCTTATTCACAGTTCTCTGATGCTGTTTATTGGTCAAAAAACATTAAGAATAATATATATA